GACATCTTTGTCTTGTTTCTGATTTCAGAGGAAAGTTTTCAACTATTTTCCCCTTAGTATAATGTTGGAAGTATGTTTACCATGAAGTACTTGTGTCAGGTTGAGAAAAGGCCCTTCCATACCTATTTTCATCAGGTTTTTTTTTTCTACATCTACTGAGATAATTATATGAGTTTTTCTTCTTCTTATGTGGTGTATTACATTTATTAATTTGCATATGTGGACCTATCCTTGAATCCACAGATGAAGCCTACTTGGTCATGATATTGGACTCTTTTTGATGATTTGAAGTGAATTTGATTCTTTTGCATTTATGAATCCAGGCTTTAAGAACTAGTATGTGATTTATTTTGAGGAAAGCTCCATATGCTGCCAAAAACTGTGTACCCCATTCTTGTTGGGAGGATCACTTTATAGATACTCACTAAGTCCATTTGTTGGAATTTGCAGTTCAATGATTATTTTTATTTGTTGATTTTTTGTGTAACTGATTTATTTGTGACAGTGGAGCATTGATATATTTTTATCAAATATATATATATTTGATACATATATCAAAGATAAATATCAGAGATTATATGTTATATATATTATAGATATATAAATATTTAAATATTGTTAAATACGTATACTATCTCTTCATGTTGCATTATTCTCTTATCTAATATATAGTGACCTTGTTTGTCTCTTCTGATCAGTTTTGACTTGAGGTCTTCTTTGTCTGAAGATAGGATACTTACTACTACTTGTTTTAGGGGTCCTGTTACACTGGATACTGTTTGTCATTTTTCATTTTTAGTGTATATATTTCTTTTTGTATTTAGTGTATTTCCTGTATATGACATAAACTTTTTATAGGCTGAGTTTTGTGTTTTGATTCAAGACACAAATATATGTCTTTTATAGGGAGTTGAGATCATTCACATTGAGACATTACTAAAAAATACTAACTTGTTTCTGTCACTGCATTATTTTCCTGTTGCTGATTCATTCTTTTGTTTTGCTTGTTTATTCTGCTTAAGTGTTCACCCTACCTCATGGATTCATTCCACTGGATATATTACCAATGCTAGCTTTGTTATCTTGTTCTAGAATATCCTTGAGAATTTTTGAAGGGCTGGTTTGATAGTCAAAAATGAATCACAGTATTATTAATTACACAAAGATAAACCAGATATTAGCATAGAGTAAAAACTGAGAAATAGTAACGACTGTTCTACCATAGTAATAGCTACAAAATCAACTGCATATCAATATACCATAAGAACTAATACAATGTAACTATACCAGCCTTAGCAATAGAAAAAAGATCTGCAATTGTGGATTCAAAGACAAACCAAATATTGAAGGTAGTATATCTCTATTAAAGGTAACTGCTATATTACTACTAAGGATAGAAAAGCATACAATAACACAGCAATCAATAAATATAGGAAGATCAATAAATCTTAGTAGTATCATGAAAAATGATGGAGCTATCAGGGAATGAGAGAATGACAGAAGTATTATTTCAAAAATTAAAAAAAAGGAAGACAAGAGGGCAGAGAGAAAAGTGAGATAAAGGATCCTAGTATGGATCCAAAAGAAAATTAATAGAATTAGATTAAAGCAATAGAAAACACAGACAAGTAAAAGGATGAAAAACAAAAAAATAGCAAAAAAGAAATTAAGAGATAATTGGAGAAAAAGGAAAAGAAACTTTTAAAATCTCTGAGACCAATAAAGATGATAACAACAAAACAAGTCTAAAGTAATTCTTCTGTGTTTTTAAATGTGTGCTTCCTTTCCAGGCTCTGCAGTATTGGAATCTACCAGTTACAGGAGAGGGATAGCGAGTCATACTAAGACTTACTTTGTTTTAACACTCTTACTTTTATGTCTGAATTCTGAATCCTGCCCTGCATTTTCTTCTTGGCATGGATAGTCTGCATGTGTCTACCATACGGCTCTATGCCCCTTCCACTTTCCATGTCTCTCTTTGTGCCCCGAGACACAGTTTTTGTTTTGGTTCGGTTTTGTTACCTAGATCTATGGCCTGTGAGTTTGTGAGGTCTCACACTGCTATAAGGCCATCTCTCTGAACATCCCAGGTAGTGGCAAGCATCCATGGTGTGGCATGTCCCCAGTGAAAGCAAATAGACTACCAAGCTCTGTGCTGGATGAAGGAAGCAAGTGTGTGTGTCCTGGCAGGGTGTCAAGCAGTCCACCGGACTTAATGCTAGTACTTTCAGACACGTCTTCCTCAGAAAGCCACACATGATTAGCCTGCCTTCTCATCTGAAAGGATGAGATGCCCACGACCTCCCAGAAATCCTGAAATGTAACTACTCCACATTATTTTGTGGGTTAGTCTTAAAAATGTAACTTCTTCCACAAACGACTCCTCATTATACTTTTAAATATTGTGGGCATGCAGTAGCTTTCCTTCTGAACTCTAATCTATCATGGGAAAGGAGTCAGTTTAAGTGTAACACCTTCATGCTGTCTCTGCAGTTTACAATAGTCGTGATCCATTTTGGAAACTAGCACTAGTGGCCCAATCTGTTACTTTTCCCTGGAGCTGCTGACCCTGTCCGACCTTTCCTTGTGCCAGAGAAGACTGTGACTCATGCTCAGAACCGTAGATCCTTTTCTGACTGTTTCATTCTTTTCTATGCATTGTGCTTTGTTTCTCCAGCTTCTCTATTGATTCTAGTTTTCCTGTCTGCTCTCTCCTGATTTCCACAGATGTACTTCTTTTTTTCTTTTTACCAAGTTTTTTTTTTTTTCCAGCTGCCTCAATTTCATGCCCTGCGGAGACTGTATTTTGCTGCCTTCTCTACTCCGCCATTTTTTGAAAATGAGCATATTTCAATATAAGCAGAAAGACACTAGGCAACACTCCGATTGGAAACGTCCATTGTAGGTAACCAAGGTCCTCACTTTTAACTGAATGATACATTTTCACCACGTTTTCTGCCACTCTGTCGTAAAGATCCTTCCTTCTTCCAATTTCCAATAGCAATTCCTCACAAGCAGTGACTTTCACACCAGATTTCTATTAACAGTGTGCTGAAGATATTTCAGGTTTCCTCTGTCAGTGATGCACTGAATTTGTTTTTGTTTTTTTTTTTTTTGTGGTTTTTCTCCGGTACCGGGAACCGAACTCACGACCTTGCGCTTGCCAGGCAGGCGCTTTTGCCACTGAGCTAAATCCCCAGCCCCCTGATGCACTGAATTTGAAACACAGGTCCTGAGCTGTGTGCTAATGCAACTTCCTTATGCTTTCTCTGCTTGTGCTTATGCTTTTTTACAAAGGAACCATTTTAGTCTTATAACGGATTGCTTCTGACCCCAGTCTGCTTTATGAGAATGTGTCCAAAAGAGGCAGTGTATACTGGAAAACTGTACACATTTGCATATGCTGTCCGTGTTTAAGAATTCTGCAACCATAAAGGTCAAGTGACATTACAGTTTATCATAAAGTACACACATCTGCTGGGAGGATACTCACTTGTCCATGATAGAATCCTTCTTTGTCATATGATGTTTTAACCTACATGTTTTGCTATGAATGAAACTTCTAATATCAATAGAATGTGAAAGATTTTTGCATTTGGTAGGAATTTTGCATGGTAATATGAATCTGTTGGGGAAACTTTTGTCATCCTGAACTCATTTACTGCTGGAAAACTTCTGGTAGCCACTTTGCCAACGGGTCAGGCCTGTTATTCCGGGTGTAACTCAGACAGGCCTAGCATGTACCTACTCTTTTGCAGTGAAAAATGAAGTACACAGCAATTTGTAATCTCATAGGAAATATTCTAGCATTCCCTCCAGCACTGGACCCATAAAACTTTAGTAAAATAGTAGGACCCTGAAACTTCATAGAATTTGCCTTCCTTCTTCCATGTATGTATGTCTTTCTAACACTTCATGTACATCCATCATCACATGCTTTTCCTGTGTAGTCAGTATGACATTATTGTTGAACAGATTTTGGATTAGTATGATAGCCTCTAAAATAACCAGGCAATTAAGAATTTACTTTTTTCTTCCTTGTAGTATGCTGCTCCATGTTTAATTCTAGAGGATGGGAGTGGTAGTTATCCCAGAAAACACCATATAAATGATTGTTGTTTCCCATATGGATGCAAATTATTTCTCAGTGCATTATCTAATCGGAATAAATACCCACTTACCAAATCAATGTCTACATAGTATCTATGTACAATTTATTATTCTCCTTGAACAATGATAATGCAGAATTTGTCAGCCTCATTAATACGAAGGGAGACCAATATTCTACACTTGGTTTTGAGAATTCTTTGTTAACTAAAGAAATTAAAGTAGGGGGATAAGTGCTAGGGGTATGAAAGGATCGGTACCTCGGCATTCATGGGCTCTTTATTAAAGACACTAATATTCATCTTCCTTGGGAAAGTGCATATGCAATAACGTTCTTAATTTACTGGCTTGAATAGAAGTTGAAACAGTTTCAGAGGTATTTACTTGGCCCCTCCATCTTCTGTAGCCCTTCTCTATAGGCTGAAAATGCAGAATAGGCCCTCAAAATGCCAAGTATATCAATTTAAATTGCACTTTGGACTGAATAAATGATCAGAGGATGGTTCTATGAATCTAACAAGGTTTCTTTGAGCTAAGTTTTGGCTGAAACTCCATATAATACTTTTCTTTCAAGTTCCAACAATGTGGGAGAATTGTGTGCCAGGGAATGTGGACCCAATCCCTTACAGCTTCAAAGTACTCTCTCTTCCCCAGTGATCGGTCACTCCAATACTGTATGCACCTTCTAGGAAAGAACTTGGGAAATAAAATATATACAGCAAGTCCCCGGCTTATGAATGAGTTCCATTCTTGGAGAACATTTGTAAGTCAGATTCATTCATAAGTCCCCAAAGTGAGTTTTATACACCTTGGACACAAATATACAATGTGCGTGGTTTTACACTTCCTAGCAGTTTCCTCCACCTCACCACAGCTTTTCTTTCTGCTTCCAGACCCCCTGGGCTCTGACTGAACACTGTACACTGTCCCACTTACACTAAGTGTGATATCCACAGTAGCACAAGCGTGACAATGTCCGGCAGACCTGGGAGCTACTTCCAAGATTTGTTCGTATCTACAAATGTTCATATTGTGAGATCCATTCGTATGTTCAAGTTCACAATTTGAAAGTTCCAAAGTCAGGGATTTACTGTACCTTATACTATAACAGTTTTCAGAGTCAGTTTTCCTAAAGAAAGTGCTGATCACCTTTTCTCATTAATGAGTTTTGAAAATAAACAGTTCCTAATGTCTTGAAACTAAGCATGACATCATGCGGTTTCAGGCAGCACCCACCTGATGTCTGATATCTTATTCCTACACTTTCCCTGGTTGTGGATGCTCAGTAGCACATCTGTAGACTTTACTTATTTTGGTGCTCTACTGTCTCAGCACTTTCTTTCACTGAAGGCTTCCTTTGATCCATGGCATACAGCACTTTTGAAAACCAAGTCTTATTATGGTCATTGCTACCTTTATGGGAAAACAAGGGTTTATTTCGTCTTAATCCCTGCTCATTTTTTTTTTCTCATGTTTTTGTGAGAAAATGAAAAATAAGTTCCCTTGTTAGCTAAGTATGTGTTTATATTAGGCTATGATATAGAGCCCTTTTTAGCAAGATAATAGCATTAACATACTTTAAAAGGTAAAAGAGTCAAATGTCTTCATACTTGCTTTTCAAAATTTTATAATTATTAACTAAAAGTACATGCACACACACACACACACACACAAACACAAACCCACACATACACACACTTATACATACCTGGAAATAGTCTGACTCACTTGTAAATATCAGAAATGTCTCTTTTTAAATAGCTTTTAAAAATATAAATGGACACAATTTTCTAAAAGCTATATAAATTAATATTTTTAGTGTTAATACTCGTAAGTATTCATTTTAAAGAATTATAAAGCATCAAATTAATCCTTATAGTATTGGTTTCAAACTTAGCAGATGGAAAGAATAAATATTATTTCATTCGTTCGATGAAATAGGAATCCGCTTCGGCGTACACCATTCCTCTGTCCCAGTGTCCTTTCCTACGTGTCAGTCAAACTACTGTTCGTTACATTCCGGCTCGCAAGAGTGGGGTGATCTGCCACCTCAGTCATTCGTGTGGTTGTTAGCAGGGTTTGGTGCCGCACAGCCTGCAAGGTGATGTACCTTAGCTCCTCACTGATTACTGCCCAGAGACTCCCTCAGAGACTTGCCATCTTAAGAGCACAGAATGTCTCTGAACACAAAAGCTACCATTTATAAAAATGAACAAACTAGGGAGTGTGTGGGGAATGAGCAGACAAGACCAAAGCCACGGTGTTAACCTCTGAAGTGGAATCCCTTTGCTTCTGCTGTATTCTAGTCATTTTAGGAAAGAGGCAATGTGCTCATGTCACATACGAGGCCAAGGAATAGCACACTCTTCTGATACTCAGAGGCCAGAATTATTAGGGGCCATTTAGAGTTTATTACACTTGTCCTCCAAGATTTTCTGTGGAACTTCTCTTATATTTAAATGTTGATATTCTGCATAGCACAGCATGGTTAGGACAGTCCAGGACAGAGGCAGCGAGCGTATGGCACAAGTGTCTCAGTGAGCACACTGCCTTCTCTGTTGGTGTGAGAGCCAAGTGTACGTGTTGTTTTTTTCTAAAGTGAAATTTCCATGTTCAACTTTAAATGCAGTGTTGGCACTTTGTGATAAATAAGTGGGTTTTCTGGGTTGCAGTTTGGGTACTGGGTCGTTAAAATATTCACGATCGCTGGTCTAGGATTTCCTATTACTTACACTGCTTGTTAGTAGTGCAAGTTTTTAACAAATTATTTAATTTTGAATACCTTTGTTTCCCTCTGGAAATTTGGATAATAATGTACAAGTCCTCACAAAGTCAGAAAATCATAGGTTTATATTTGATTTTTCCTAACAGTATCTGGAATCTAACATGGATTAGGTAATCATTTGTTAAAAGAAAATTCAAAAATGACTATTAAAAATGAATTGCTCATTTAATTTACTTAAAGAATTTATTTATTCACTAGCTTGTATAGTAGTTCTCTAAATTCATAAATAATATATTTATCTTTGTTTCCCAAGCTGTAGTGTAGTAGAAACATTACTAGTAAACATACAAAAGTGGTTTTATTTTTTTAAATATGCTATTTTAATATTTTCCATTTCAATAAAATTAATATGCAAAGATAAAGAGAAAAATAAGCCTGGAGTGGCTTGCAGTCCTTGCTGCACTGAATTATAACATTACAGGCAGAGTGGTCCGGTAGTGGCAGTGTTCATTACCCCTCTCCCCCCTAGAGTTCCCTACTGCAGCATTACAGACTTCTGACTAAAGCCTGTGTGACCTTGTGTCCTTGCAAGGACTGCCTTTTCATTGGTAACACAATGAGGGTGGACAGGGTGATTGTAAAGATCCCTCTAAGAACATGTTGGCTTCCTGGAAAGCTATTACAGATGATACCTATTTCCACAAATAATATTTCTTCACGCCTGTCTCTATGAAGAGAAAATTCTCCACAGTTACTCCTATATATTGATAAACATACATAAGAGTTAACTTTATTTTATTTCTGGTATTGCCACATGACACTCATATGTGATTACTTATTTCAGCAACAGTAAGAGAAAAATTAGGTATACTATGTGCAGCATAACTTTTTTAAACCTTAAGACAATTGAATCATCCAGATATTCAGATAGAACAATGCTAACATTTTATTGCATTTTGGTAGATTTTAATATGTTTTTGTATTGTTTTATATGTTATTTTTATATTCCATACTATACTTACTTGATAATTGTATAATGGTACAATAAAAAATAATATGGCATATTAGATAGTCAAAATGTGTTTAATATTTCTTCTTTGTCTTGAAATATAGTCTATCTTGTTTATATAAAAATGTATTTTCCCTGTGATAAACATCTTGCCTTATTAGAAGCCATTTGTTTTGCTGTAGAAAGGATATTGTAATAAAAAAGTGGAAATGAAACTCTGGCAATGTGCTTTCCATTTATATCTCTCAGGATTCTGTAAATGCTGCTGCCGTTTCTTTAGAAATGGGATCCTGAGGTACCTTTGGCTGTTTCCTATGGGACAAATACATTGACTAATATAATCTGACACTTAAATAACCATAAATGACTAAATAAATGTCCAAGTCACTAGGGGAAAGAGAAGGTCATAGAATCTGTATTTCAGCTGGCAGAACAGGAATAAATTATGCCCTGGAGAATTCAGCTGTGTTCAAGGAGGCAGAGCATTACTGTGTTAACATATTGACAAAGGACAGAGAAAAGTTTAATTAACTCAGTAGTTAACCTTAAAAGTTTAAAAGAATTACGATGGAGAATCCGTATCAAATCTATTATCTTTCTCTACTAAGGGCCATTCATTTGTACAGCAAATGTGGGGCAACAACTACAATGACACCTTTCCACGGGGTTTACAACCTCATCAATGATATTGAAATTAAATTATTAGAGACATAACTGTGTACCCACAGAGCCATGAGTCTTCAGAGCATTTAAGAAGGTAACCAGAATCAGCTTTTGCAAGCCAAGGAAACTGAATTTAAGGGAGTGACTAGAACCGAAAATTAAAGTTTGAAGTTATTTACTAATTACCAAGGATAGAGAGAAAAAGGATTTAGATAGAATAAAAGGGATTTGGGCCATCTTGTAAATTTACATGTGTGACTGGTAGAAAAAGAAAGTCAATGTGGTCGGACAGTGACAAAGAAGAAAAATGAAGACAGATTTGGACCAAGATGTACAGAGGACCTAAAGGTTAGAACTACTGAAATACCTAATCTTTTCAAGTATAGATACAAACTATAGAAACCTGTAAGTGAAAAGTTAAAAAAGTTAAGAAAAAAGTTAAAAAGTTAAGAAAAAGTTAAAAAGTTAAGAAAGTTTAAGTTCTCTTTAGGAGACTAGGCTGATACATTTTTGAGAATATGAGAGATTAACAATGGAATTTTAAAAGCCTTAAAGCATCTTAATTGCATGTTCCCTAGTAGACTTCAACACAGAGTGGGTCTCTGGTCAGACAAGTCACTGTGAGCCACGTTAAATATTTTGCTCTTCATTGTGAGAAAAGTAATTGCATGCAGAGGATCAGATTTTTGGAGTGAGGAGACATGTAGTATGCCACGTGCAGACTGGTCGCAATGCAAAAATGGAGTCGGAAGATGTCATGATGTATTGAAAAGTATTGGAGGAGACTGACTTGAGAGACCAAAAAATGGTGCTGGGGAGATAGTGCAGTCACAGCACCTGTCAGGAAAGTACAGGGTCTTGACTTTGATTCCTGGTACAAAAAAAAAAAAAAAAAGGAAAAAAAGGAAAAGAGAGGCAAAAATACAACTGAAAAGCTGTGGTGTCTAATTTTCTCAATTAAAAGGATTCTATTTATAGCAGTTTTGAACATCAGAAAGATTCAGAATTACTTTGGGGAATGATAGTATAATCATAGTCTGTGTTTCATTGAAAGCAGTCTTAGAAACTCCATTTGAAAAATCTGAGATTAGGATAAAGAGGAGACTCAGAGAAGAGCTCTATGCTAGGGATCATCATCAGTGTTTAATAAGGACCTGAACAGAAGACAATTGCCTGGTAGAATTATGTTCCCTCTTCCTGGCACTGAGGAGGAGTCTAAAAAGGAAGCTGAGAAGGATTAACCAGGAGGGTGTGATCAAATGCTGCAGAGTGTGATGAAAAAGAAGCTCCAAGTAGAAGAATATAATGGAGCGATATCCAGTATATAATTCAGTCTTTAAAAGAACAAAAAGATAAACAAGGAAAGAACACGGATAATGACCGAAACTCGAAACATAAATCAATACATTCAAGTGTCTTTGGGTTTTGCATTTATATTCATTGATTTATGCAAATAGCTTTAGCAGGGAGAATCTTTTTTATCACCTTTTGTTTTCCCAGTAATAAAATGTTGAATGTGTACTGTGAAACAAAAGAGAGAGGGAAAGGAGGTCAGAGGGAGTCCTGTTTTGGTGGAGTTTATAATTCAGTTTTCCAAAAGAGGTATATGAACAGTAAACAAATCAGTCAACAACACATGATTTGAAAAAAAAATTAAAGCAGAAGAGCACAGGAATAGTGGCAGTATGGAAGAAGACGTTTGGTTGCAGAAGTTGAGGGAAAATTTTTTGATAGGGAGCATTTGACCAAATTCCTGCATGAGGTGAAATACTGGGCCACAAGTATCCATTTGGCAAAGACGAAGGCAGTTGCTCAGCAGGGAGAAAATGTGATTTGTCTGAAACCTGCAAACCTAGCCAATGAGCCTGGAAAGAACTGCCCATAGGGATGACTGGGTGACCAAAATAGAGACAACCGTTTTAGCCATGAAAGGGATGATGATTTGCTTTTAGTTTGATTGAGATAAAAGAACATTAGAAATTTTACTTGTCTTTTGTTTCTAATAGAAGGATCATTTCACTTCCTTTGGGGACAACACATCAAAGTGAATCTGAGCTTCTTATGTGACATTATTTTATATTTCTCATTAACATCCATACTACTTTTCTTGTTCGACAATGATCAGCTTTAATAAAAGACATAATTTCTTCTCCTTTTGACTTTTTAAGATCCAGAGCATCCTTGCATACTGCACACATGTATGGGATTTACACTACCACAAGAGAAATGAAAGCTCTGCTTTAAGTGAGAAAATAGACTGTGTTAT